GGATCGCCAAAAGAGCTCAAACATGGGAGGCAAGAAGCTTGGGCAAGGACCAAGTGGGGTGGCCTTACCTTCCGCTGACTCGTTATTTTCCGGGGGCAAACCACCCGAAAATATTGATTCACAGGTAAACAGCAGTAAATAGCTTGCACAAAACAAATCTAATGGCCACTTTAAAAAAATGCAAGATTTGCATGCGTATTCCAAGAGTCTATTTCATGGAGCGCCTACACCACCTTGCATATTGAGCCTACAATTCATATCGACCTTGGCACAGTAAACTACAGCCTCATAATAACCGTTCAAATTCTTAAGCGTTATCCCTTCAACACCTTACGTCTATACAAAGCTAAGACTGTAGCTGCAAACTAAAGAACTAAATTTTTATTCCCTGGATTAAAAATAAAACCGATGACAAAATTAAATAGGAAACTTTGGTCGTATAGCAGTCAAGTATCCCAGAATTTCTGTTATTTGACAATTATTCTTTGAAATCGAGGTAAATATTCCTAAAGCCACTACTCACCGAGATTGAAAAGAATAATCGTTTTAGTATCTGCACACGAAACGATCTCAACAAAATCAGAGAGGAAACCATTGAAAAGTACGATTTCATTGACGGATCTACCCTGAGAAGACAGCCGGCATTTGGCGACGCTACTACTGGTTTCCCCGCCAAACGACGTCTAAGAAACGAGCCCAGAAATTCCATACTGATGAAGGGTCATTACCCAGAGCTGGGTAGTGCTTCTGATTGGTTGAATCAAATTTCCCACGCGGCGCGACCAATCATAAGCACTACCCAGATCTGGGTAGTGACGCGTCATCGGTATGGAATTTGTGGTGCTCGTTTGTCAGACGTCATTTAGCAAGGAAACCAGTTGACGGATCAAATCACGCGAAAGTTTGAAAATAGATCTTTGCAGAATTTTCAAACATGGCAATTCACAAGTTTATGACTTCGCAAACAACAGCTTAGCGTAATGGCTTAATTGGAACCGTTAAAAGTTTGAATTGTTTCCTTAACTGAGAAGGAAGGTAGAGCTTAGATGTTTTCTGTTGACTCGCCAAGTTTATAGCCAAACCGGTTTGTTGTGTCGTTCTTCGCATGAAGTGCTGACAAAAATGGCGGCTCGGTTGCTCGAGGTAAGACGTCGTCTCCCTGTAGCATTCTTTTTCCTATTTTACTTGAACGTAGAATTTTTGCAAACATTTGGTTTCAAATTTCTTTGTCACAAATAAACTTCGATTTTGGAACAAAATTTCTTTTTAGGAAACGCTGAGTTCACGAAACGGCTTCTTCTACACGAATAAACGGGAGTTGTAAACAATCCATCGAGCACAAAACTCACCTACAGTAAATGGAAAAACGCCGTTTTGAATCCTTCCGAGTCTTTTCTTGCCTTAAAAAAAGTCAGCCCTAGGACTTTGTCGACTTTTAAAAGATCGTTCCCAAAGAAAATGGGAAAAACACCGAGCTCACACATTATCCACTCGCTAAGAGGTGAATATTGTTAAATAGTCAGAGATAGCGAGCCAATCAGATTGCTTAAATCACCAAGATCACTGAGTGTGTATATACTAACGTAGATTATTTACCACATACAAGGAATTTGCTTTGAAGCTTGTTTGATTTTAAATAGATGCTCTCATTTAAATCCAATCCTTTTACGTGGGATAAAAGTGCTAAAGCAGTCAAATCTTCAGTGGTGGACTTCAAATTAAAGGCAAGTGGAGGTACAGCTATGAACATTTCACGGCTGCCAGAACCAGTGGAGATTTTCATAGCTCTTCCCGATAAGAGCAAAGAAACTGAAAAGGAGAATATTTCCACGCAGAACTTGTTTTTAAAACCTAGCGAAGGAAAGAACAACTTTCGCTACCATAGGTTTGCTGTGTCCTCCTCAGATGTGCTGGTTACAATAAAATTGACACCTGAGAAGGGAAAAACGGTAGATGTGTTCGTGAACTACAAAACAAAGCCAACTCCTCAAGACAATGTCTTCAGCATTTCGATTCCCAATTTTTCATATTGCTCAA